CTTGCAAAAGGTAAGCTGTTACAGTTTAGGGTGAAAGGCACTTTGACGTATTTCACAATAAGATGGTAATGAAACAGGCGCAGAATGACAATGCGCACGATAGACTGACTTTTATCTAACAATTTACAAAGCAGAAAATCGGGACATAAACAACGCTATGAGAAAAAGATCTAATATCTGACGCTTTATCGTATTATTCGCAGACCAAAGAGTTAGAACCATTTTCAACAGCGTCATAATTAAACAGGGACGTAACTGCGCGGTAGCTTTCATTTAAATGGACACTGAATAGACATACGCTAAGGTTCCATTCACCGACTCAGCCTGTGCTTCATAAGAAACAATGTACAATGGCTTTCATGTACATAGTCCCACTAAAGGATTTCATCCACAGACTCAAAAAGTTCGAACCACTCCTGACCTTTTTTTAGAGCATAAACAACGGCACCATAGGAAAATTTTGCTCCAGGGAGCTTTCATTTGAATCCAGACTTGAAAGTATGAACCACCTTGCACAGCGTAACAAACAACACCACAGGAAAGCGTTTTAATTGAATGGTCACCCTTAAGGATTTTATTAGACTCCAAAGTTCCTACCATCTTGAAAAGTATAATAAACAGTACCGGCCTTGGAAACTACTGAGCTGGGCCACCTAGCGCCGCGGTAACGTTCATTCCGCGGGAAAAAAACTCCAAATTTTAGCGCCGAACATCGGCCGCCGGTAAGTCATAACAGCTGACTCCTTTTTCAGTTGTGTTCATTTGCATAGCTACAATTTAGGAATTCATACACAGAGAAAAAAGTCAGAGCCACACCGTGAGTCAGGCAGTTCTTTACAAACAGAACCGCAGGAGAGTACTATTGAATTGCTTTTACTTGAATGGTCACACTAAGGAAAATAAATAAATACAATAAAAAATAGAATCAAGCGTCAAAAGAACAAAAAAATGAATGGTGAGGATTTTAAACTTGATTGCCAAATTGTTGTCAGGATCGTTTCAATCGCTCAGAGATTCTGAAAAAATGGAGATGATTTGGAGCTTTAAAAATTTATTGACGTAGTTTCACAGTGACGATTTAGTCGCCCCAGTCAACGCGCATTGAGTCTTAATTGAGACGGATTATTATATGGGAACGAGAATCTACTCATCTATCAAGCCCGATCAAGCTTCTCTCGCAAGGGAGTTTATACAAAGGCGGTAACCAGCTTTTTAGATTCATAAACCACCCTGGAATATACAAGGCTACGGGGATTCCGTAAACAAGCCGTAACAATTTCACAGCCAGCAGGACACTTAGAAGCCTCGGGCAAAACGTTGGACTTTGTCGTAAGCGGACAAACATGAGGTCACACTAAAGATTGCAAATTAATGTTTACGGGAACGTCTAAGAAGTACCTCTGTTTCTCAGTGCAAAATGCTTCGAAGTTGATTTGACCAAGGTGTTCGCTAAAGACATAGCTGAAGGGACGTGTGGAGTAAGCGAAAAATTTTATCAATGGAGGGCACAATACAGATACTTAGCGTCAAAACCACACGTTGAACAAAACAGATGCTAATTAGCTCAGAACAAAATGGGTCAAATTAAAGCTTGCTTTTCAAAGAGAGATAATTTTGTTGACTTCGTGAAAGCAAAACAGCCCACAATTTCGAAAACAGTCTAAATCCTCGAACATGCCGTGACTTAATATGCAAAAACTTGCAAAATTTTCGGTTCGGTACTCAACCTCTTGAAAGCGGACTTTTTTTCTGTATACGAATTTTAAAACTGCTGAACAAAAGGCCTTTTCTTTTTTTTAAGTTGTTTGTGGTTTCCTTTCCAACAGAGAACAAGACGCTCTATTTGAACCTTTCAATAATGCCAAGCACACTTAAATGTTTTGAAAAAAAAAAAAAACGGATCATGAAAAACGGATCGACTTACATCCAAGTTTCATAAACAACCGTGGCAGAATACCTTGAACTCTTTCAAGCAAGACCAAAGACTTCGTGATAAACAACACGCACCATCAGTTAGTTCCCTAAGGGTGAAGGGCGGGGTTAAAAGGTAATGTCGTGCAATTACATCAGAATTGTCTGATAAGACTCGACGGACATGAAATGTTTCATGAGAACAAAAGCGTCAAAACACGGTATAAAGTTCACCAAACTGATGCAATATCCGCTCCCCAAAGAAATCTGGACACTGTTTATATGCAACCTAAGGAAAAAACAATTTTTTATCTATCTCCTACGGTAATTTTTTTTTTTAAACGCTTCACTTGTTTGGTTACCACAAACTCGTGAACAATTTCTCGTAATTGACATTGAGTACAACTAACTGAAAACAATTATATAAGGACAAACAAGTTGCCCAAACAAAATTTTCAGAGGATTACCGTAACAAAGAAACTACTCACTTTGGATTAAACCCGGTTCCCTCTGTTCCTTGGTTTATTAAAATTAGACAAGCGATTTTTTAAAAATTGCAAATAGTCGTCCGCTTGGGAACAAGAAGCCTATTAAAAAGCACTTTTCAATGGATGTTCGCATTGCTCAGGTTTTTGTTTAGTTTCAATGGCATTCGCCGAGAGCGGCAACTCACTTGTTTGCCAGTGAAATGTAGGAAGTGTGCTGTTTGTATAAAAATGTTTTGACTTAGATACCTGGTCCTTTATGTCAGACAATAGAGAATGGACTAAATTCAACGAGTAAGAAGGAAAAAAGAAAAATAAGAGCATGATAAAACGTTCAGATAAACTGCTGTTACATTCTCTCAGAACAGATTTTAACGGTGACACTTTATGACTTGATCTACAAAGTTGGAAAAGTTGGACCTACCTTGTAAAGTCCTGATGTTAATTTAAGGTTTGGTTTTTCAGCACCCTCCATCTTACAACTCTAAGACTTTCTTCCAGTTGGCCATTTCTTTCTTGCTTTCAATAATCAAAGATCACTCAAGTTGTGTTTCATAACCAACAGCGGTATAGCGCTAACTGGACGGTGATCCAAAACAATTTACCGGGGATTTTCATGATCTGCAAACAACGATAAACACACCAGCCCACCAAGGGAAAAACATGCACAGCATTATGAAAAACAAACAAATAAACAAAAACAGGAAGCTTCTGCTCATGATCAGAAGGTTTCATTTGAATGGTCAAAGTCTAGGAATTCATCCACAGACTCAAAATTTGCACAACAGTGCGACAGGAAAAAAACTGCTCAGTAGCTTTCATTTGAATGGTCACGCTTTAACATTTTAAACAGACTCACATGAAAGATTGTACCTTATACAGCATTATAAACAGTTCATGACCACATCTGCAATTGAATGGGCACCGAAAACTCTGGAATTCAGTTATACACATGCCCAAAAGTTATGTTACATGTGTTTGGACAACGTACGCGAGGGTGTAGGCCCAAATATAAGACCAAGCTAAAAGTCAAGAGGGCTAGGGGTTGAGCTGATTTGACAAGTTAACAGCTCGTCATTTCTATTGGCTGACAAATGTAAAACACTGGGGCTAACTATACTATCTCTGAAGCCATCGCATTAGAAGCTTAAAACAGTGACTGCGTGGTTATGTCTACCAGTTTTCAATGAGGGAGTGTTATTTCAAGACTGTTTAAATCAGCCTCTTGTGTTGCGATTCCCAACCTAAGTTGTTAGGTAAGTTTTAAACTGTCTGTTGGTTAGAAATGAGGTTGAAGTTTGCCTGGTGAAAGCGTCAGATGAAGTGAACAAGGTCAAAAATGATTCGGCTTAACATGGCCGATTGTCAAACCCGATTCATGGCTTTAGCTTTCTTGTTTGAAACAGCTCGAGCAAATCTTTTCAAATTTAAATTGCCTTTCACAAAATAGGCCTTGTGAAATCACTAAATAACAACTTTTCAGTTTAACAGACGATTGATTCACGCACAGACCAAAAAAATATGAACTGCTGTAACCGATCTTGAGATTACAATCAGGAAGTTAGCTCAATCTTGCATGAATAAAAAAGTTAAACAAGACAAGACAGTAAATTTCTTTTAGATTAAACTGAAAAATATTTGCACTTGAAATTTTTAATTTGGAGAAATGTGTAGTTACCAATTTTTTGATATTAAAAGCTGGTAATAGATATTTATTCCTTCGCGCGGTCTTGCTTCTTCATTTGATGGTATATCGGATGTATTTTCGATTGCTCGCGATAATTTGGCATTTTGTTTTGCGGGTCTTTTGCCGTGACCTTATATTTAGCACAAGCGGTGCTTTTAGGCTAACCGCGGTGTTAGATTAATTGTTAGTCCGTCTCAAACAAGAGTTAAATTTGAATAAGAAGTGTGGATGAATATTACAAGCCAAGTTCGCCCGCTGCTGTTGTATGCAGGAGTGGGTCGTGTTGCAAGTGACACGGAAAACGGCTTGTAAAATTTTGGGCCGATAAAAAAAGTACGTTTCTCAACTTTTTCCGCCTGTCCACGATAAAATTACTTCCAGTCGCTGGCTGAAATTCAGTGAAATGGCCATTTAAATAAACGCGAATATTTCAAGTGTTAACGTTCGAAAGCCTCTCCACAGAACTGTGCTGAATGTTGCGTTTCTCTTACTACCCTTAATCGAAAATACGTTAAGAAATGTGTTGAAAAATTTTAGGGAGAAAATTAATATGATAACGTTGCCTTTTTATTGTAAAATTAGTCTTTAGTCAATGAAACAAAAACATTACACTAGTAACCATTTTAACAGCAAATTAGCATGCCTATACGGATCTCACTGCACACAGGAAAGAAACAATATTCGCAAGCGTAAATAGTACTGAAGTTAATATATGCGAGGTTCGCGTCTACTGAAAGGACGCGTGCGCAGTAACACCGCGTGTGCGCCCTTTGGTTTGATCGTTTTCTGTGAAAGCGTGCCGAGCGCTCCGCAGGAAGAACGTGCTGTCGTGACTCTGTTAACTCGTTTAGCACCTTTTCAGCCCTCTAACCCTAGTGTTACTCTGTCTAGATCCCTGCGAGGTGTAAAGAACAACTATGGCGAGGCTGGTAGCGATGATGGGGGCTTTACTCGTGATAACCGTTGGTCGTTCAGGTAAGTGTGTGATAACACATTGTAAATAAGTGTGGCGACTGTGGATTCTTCTCAATTCTCCTGGATGCTCGCGTTGTTTTGATTGCCTGATCCTGCTTAAGACTTGTGTCAAATTTCCAAAAACATTTGTGCTCGGTTTAGATCTAGCAGATAACGCAAGCGCAGCGATTTTCGTGATCTTTGCCACACCTTTTGTAAGGTTCAAATGTTTTCAATACCGTTTACCTGCAACGTTGAGCATTCATATTTCAGCTTTGTTTTTGCGCTCTATTTATAAACGATAGCCGACATAAACAACCCCACATGTTCTCCACCATAGCCTAAAATTTGAGAGCACAAAATTTCGCCAGACGATTAAGACGCGCTTATCGCGAAACTGAGTATTAACGGGAGCTAACGGGCGCTTTTCCAAAGTTGTCCTTCGCGCCTAAACGAACGTTCAACTTCAGCGTGATCGTAAACATCAATATACCCTCCAGGCTCTGTATTGTAAGGGAATGTACATTCTGTTCAGTGGTGCACAGCATAAAACCCTCGTAGGGTGTAGACTTTGCCTTCCTTCCTACTGCGTTTTTAAAACTGTTGAGTCATTCATAGTAAAACAAATTTTGATCAATTCGGAACCTAGGTGAATACATTACCACACGCGGTCTTGTTCCAAAATCCTTTCTTTGTCTAGTTTAATTTTGGAGAGCGAGGTGGATAAGGATACACGTTTTTGTCGCGTTAAAATCGGCGAGTTAATACACAATAACAATCATTAAGTGAACAAGAACTTTCTTCTTGAATGTCACTTGCGATCAATTCTACGGCCGATACTGTTGTGAAATTCCACTGTTTACCAAATAGTGCGAGAGACAAGAAGACATTGTTCAGGGTAGCGATTTTGTTCATTTTTATAGGACCAGAGAGCTTGGGATAGACTTTTTTTTATTATTACTCATAAAACAGAAGTTGGTTCAACACATGAAATAAAAGATACACTCAAGAATAAAGTCTATCATGATCTCATAACTTAAGCAGCTAGCATTGAGCGTAGTAGACAATACTTTAGTCACGTATTTCGTAATATTCCTTTCGCTTCATCGAACGCAATGCTGTAAAGAATATTGACACTGAAGAGAAAAAAATGGAAATTCACTCGTTCCTTTACAATATTTACGATATAGTTATTTTTGTACATCATGCAAAGTGCAATGATAGAACTGTCATCTCTTTAAGTACAAGGATTAAGTTCCCAAAGACGGGCGCTTTGATTACTTTCGAAAACAGCGATTTCCATTGAAGCTTATCTCGATGGAAGCAACTGAAGCATGCCATGGTTGTTTTTCACTTTCTAACTAGAAACACGCGTGACACGAACGAAATATTTGTTTCAGCTGCACGTAGGGAAAATGACTCAACCCCATTGTTTTTTTGAGGAATGAAATATCTATTAAGTGGGTGTACCTGCAGCTTGGAACTGACAAAATTTACTAAATTCATCAACAAAACTTATGAAGAAAAAAAGAATACAAATAAGACCAGAAAAGTCATTTTTCACTACAAATTACTATGCCTTCTGAGCCCTGAAGCACATAAAACTAAAATCTGTTGTTTCATATCTCTGCTCTTTGGCTGACGTGACGAAGGGACTCAAACTTTGCGTACCAAAAAAAAGTATGTATATTAGTCGTCAATTTTTGAATTCCTTCGATATTTCCGTCTTCACTAATCTTGCATGAAGGAATAAATTCTATTTAATTCTAATTGTATTTTGCTACTTTTTCTAATCCATTAACATGCCCAAAGCTTAATTTACAAAAAGCCACACGAATTGCAATTGTCCGCTGAAGTCGTTTTGCGATATTGCAGCGAATATTTTGCGTAAAAAGCTGTCAAATTTGTCACTGGGGTAGTATAAAAACTGCATTAAAAAACAATGATTACAAATGTTGCTCAGCCACACGACATTTGTGAATAGGGGAAAACAAGTGAAATATTTAGCGCGTTCATGTTGTTAGATCACCGAAAACAAATTATAACGCGCGCTGTTTAGCAATATTCTTAGAAAGTTCAGAGATTTTCGAATTTTAAATTTGTTAAAAGTCTGAATAGCACTGATTCTAAACAGATTGTCGGGAAAAAATGAATTTTCTTTTAATCCGTGACCTGCTAGGTAAAATGAAGAAATGGAGATGATAATATTTTTGTTTTAATAGACTGCAGGTCATGTATTGGGAATGCAAATTTTAATTATTGAAAACAACAGACGCTGGGATAAAAACAATGTTTAGTTGAAAAGAAAGATGGAGAAAAAGAATTAGTATCTTTTCGAGGACCAATACTATGAGCATATTATAAAAGTTGTAGCCTCCAAGGTATGGAATGAGATATCTTGGAATCGTATGAGAATTATCAGAAAATAAATTTTGTCATAATATGTAGTTTTGTCTGAAAGACAGGATGTTGAAACCACGCTTTAGCCATAAGAGGGGGAGGGGGGGAATTTTTTAGTCTTGTTCAGATAGGTAATATGAAAAGTTGCAGAGGAAAGCAGGGCTGTCATTAAGGGTGGGGGACTGGGGTTTTTCCCCGGCTGGCTACTTTCATCCAGGACTTCCATAAAAAGAAAAATGTAGAACAAAAAGAAATCCTAGGTGTTTGATTCCACGCGTAGTTAATGTAATCACCCTGAAATCTTATTGACAAATTACACAAAGGTGAGGATAATACAGTCCCAGACACAAACACTGAAAGTACAGGGTAGAAGGTTTTAATTCCCACCATACCCTGACCACAAACTAGAGTATCCTGCCAGGGTGCAAAAAAAATCTTTTTTACAGCTTGCCATTCGGGCAAGCTGAAGCTAACAATTTACTAGCCCAGACGTCATTTCAACTAGCCTCAAAAGCTGTTTGAAGAGCAGAATAATATTGATCTCACGGTTCGTCTGTTATTCGAATTCCTCAAAAAAGATCACTTGCCCATCAGGCAAGTTAAAAACAGAATTCACTAGCCCGATAGCAAAATCCACTAGCCCCGGGCTATCGGACACCACTTTCTTTGTATGCTGCCTGCCCTCACNTTAATTCCCACCATACCCTGACCACAAACTAGAGTATCCTGCCAGGGTGCAAAAAAAATCTTTTTTACAGCTTGCCATTCGGGCAAGCTGAAGCTAACAATTTACTAGCCCAGACGTCATTTCAACTAGCCTCAAAAGCTGTTTGAAGAGCAGAATAATATTGATCTCACGGTTCGTCTGTTATTCGAATTCCTCAAAAAAGATCACTTGCCCATCAGGCAAGTTAAAAACAGAATTCACTAGCCCGATAGCAAAATCCACTAGCCCCGGGCTATCGGACACCACTTTCTTTGTATGCTGCCTGCCCTCACCACAAACTAGAGTAATAATGAGACTCAAGGCTCCGAAAAAAGTCACGTGTTTGCAAAATAATTGTCTGTGCATCAGTTGAATTTCAAAAATAATGATTCAGTTTTGTTATTTAAGACTACATTAATTTTAGACATTGAAACTGTTCCTGTAGTCAGTTATCATGGATGATGGTCGAGGATCGACATGGATTAAAACTTGAAAAAAAAAAAGGTCAATTTCAGAGATACCAACCTCTGGAGATCTAAAATCTGGTGACTCTCTCTTTTTCACTACCCTACCCCCCGGAAATTCAATGAACCCCCACTCCCCAACCCCGACAAATATGGGAATCAGACTTAGGACATTATATGAAGTCTTACTTGAAAATTTGCGGTCATCGTTTTGATGCCAGAAATAACCTTTCTCAGTGACTAAATCGGTGCAAGAATGCCCCAGAAACCGTACTACGAATAAGAAAATTTCAAGTTTTGAGCTAAAAATGGGCTAAATCTCAAACTAAAGTACAGAAAAGCTCAAAAGATGACTTTATTCGGGAGACATGGTGACCTGTGCAGGAGACCGGGAGATTGGTGTCGTATCTGGGAAACTCCTGGATAATCCAGGAGAGTTGGCATGTATACAATTCTTCAAGTTTTTATGCTATGTCTGCAAAAGTCACCATGTCAGGTGAGGTCATGACAGGGAAATCTCAGACCAAAGCGTTGAGGCGTTGATGTATTGACCGTGCCATAGCGAGGTCAATACATCAAGGCTGAGTCTGAGATTTCCCTGTAATGACTGAATGGATGAGGTTAATAATTTATTTATCACATGGCCTTTTCTTTGACAAATGTGAGAAATTGTGGATCTGAGCCTGTGGTCAATTAAAACCAATAACTGGTCAGCGGATATCTTTAATGAGTTGTTCATTTGAGCCAGTCTGCACAGTCATGTGACACTGGTCAGCGGATACCCTTTTCGCCATCTGTCAATTGCCCATAACATGGATGTCCACCGTCAAGTTAAAGACAGATGGTACACTGTATTTGCCTTGGACAAGTAGCTAGTAAGGCCTGGTCATTACAACAAAGTCTGGCCCGTTTAGCAGCCAATCAGAGTGCGTGTACTATTGTAGCCATTTAATAGAGTATCTTCTCTCTTCATTCCTTGTAGATGGAACAGTTACATTACCATTTACAGAAAGAGAATACGCGACAGGAAGGGATCCAAAAGTGGCTTGCAGTGTAACAGGAGAAACCTTTGTTTCTTGGTTAACACCCTCAGGTCAGACAATCACAACCTCATCGACCACGGGGAGAATTACAGTTACAGTGACTGGAGATACGTATACACTGAATATAGATTCTGTAACAGCTCAAGATGGAGGCGAATACCGATGTCAAGGCTCGTTAAATTCAGGCGTTTTTACCCTAAATGTTAATTGTAAGTATCTGACAAATTAGACTTAGGGGCAGTGTACCCAATGGTGGTTTCCTCCTAAATGCATTGAAATGTCTACCGGTATTTAGGGTATCTAGAGTACTTTTAGATCTCTAGAAATGCATTCTAAGTGGCGCTATAAAATTTTTAATCTGCTTGGTCATCTTAGGGAAACTTGAGGTTTTTCGAAATTACAAGGGCTTCAGTGTTATTTTCCCCAAAATTTTAAGATGCAATTGAACGTTTTGCGAAAGAGGGAAGTTTTCTTATTCCTCTCTCCATCAGGGTTGCCGGAAAGTTTTGAAGTAGATGGCTGAGTTGTCAAAGTAAGCGGCCAGCCCAGGGATATTTTATTTAAAAAACGCCATCTGTAAAGAAGTGCCAAACAGAGTAGCCAGCCAATACTAACCAAATAGGCGGCGATTTTCGCCGGCAGCCGGCTACTTTTGACAACCCTGCTCCATTACATTTTTTAGTCCAAAAATTTTAGGTTTCTTTATCCTACTAAAATTAGCCTAACATAAGGAGTAAAATATTAAAAATTGAACTTCAGAAAATCTTAGGGAATTTTGTAGGTAAGCTTCAAAAATTGTACCTGAATGGAACACTCAGCCAGAAATTTTTAGCCCTATGAGGCAATAGAAAATTCTATACAGAAAACAGTCATTGGGTGCCCCTGTAGACTCACCGAAATTCAAGTTTAACTGGGCTGCCATTTTTCCTGAGGGGAGGCACAGGCTACAATAAAACCTTGTCACTGACCATTGCATGACATAGAATCCAAGGAAATCTGTGACCGTGAATTTATGAAAGCAATTCTGTAGACAACCATATCAAGAGTGATTATTTGTTGGAAACCCCCGACAACCTATGACTATACAAAATTACTGTACTGCATGAAAACGATAAGTTAAGCAGAACAGACAGCAAACAGCTTTTAAGAGAAAACAACCCACTATAAAACCCAGGATACATGCAGTAGAAATATTAATCCATAGACGGTAATCTATTGTTTATGGTTGACACGGAAACACATTTTGCAGAAGATAAAACTATTTTTATGTTTCAAGATTCTTTCCTTTTAATTTGTTATCTTTCCTCAACCTATTAAAAAGGAATTAGTTCATTTGCAATTTGTGACCTTGAAAAGTTGAAAGATTCCTCACAGTTTTTTCCATCAGTCCGGTATGTCAAAAAATGTGAATAGACCAAGTGTCATAATGAGAGCCTGTGTCAAAGTGCTGATGTCAAGAACTTAAAACTTAGAACTTAAACTGATTTTTGCTCAAGCAATTTATCTCAAAGCTCAAAATTGATAAGGTTTAGCTGCAGAACAATTCTAAGACAAGTCTTCTTTATCCTAATCCAAAATTTAGCCCTCCAAAAAAGAGTCTGTTGCATTAAACAGAAAGAAATCAATCTTTAAACAAACTCTGTGAAGATGGACAAACATGCTTGATGGATCACGCAATGCTCTGGGTTACTATTAGGAGTGTGTTCATTTTTTGACCAAGAAAATCCCCAGGGGTACTCTGGATTTCAAAGTGATGGGAATGATCGAATGGGGGCATTAAAAATTAAAACCCAAAAAAATCCCTGGACCTAAAATTCACCCTCAAAAAATCCCATGCCAAATTTCTGCATGAGCCTTAAAAATTTCCAGAAAACATTAAATGGTATAACACAAAAATAAGTACAATTCCCTCCCCAGGGAGGAGGGGTGGGGGGTGGAGAGAAAATCTACCGATTTTATAAAATGGGCTGCCAGTTAATTAGGCAAATTCTCTGGTGGTAATTCTTCCTTGCACTGTATAGGCTGGCTATCTGCCGCAGTTAGGGGTAGTAACACACTTTTGTTCAGGGCAGTATCAGTAAATCTCTTGATCAGTGACACATTAACAACTGTTTTTGTCCCTGATAAACCTTGTGTATGGGGTCTAGTGTGTAATTGTGGTTGCCATTGGCAACAATAGTTTCATAAGCATTACTTAAAATTTTCTTTTTAAAGGTGATTTTTACAGATTTAGTTGGGAGGTGCCCTGCATCTGGAACTTCAGCTACCATTCACACCTTACCTTTTGGTTCCTATCAGACAGATTTACATGGTTTGCACGTGCCTTGAAAAGTCCTTGAAAATTGAAAAATTGTGGGATATCCTTGAAAAGTCCTTGAATTTTCCACAGATGTCCTTGAATATTTTTGAAAGCTCCTTGAATAAAAAATAACCTTTGTTAAACATAAAATGTTTTGCATAAAGGAATGATTGAAAGTACAGCAATACACACATTTTCTTGGTGATCATGAAAGTGTTTTCTTATGATTTGGGTGTTCCCAGCATAGTTCATTTTTCGTTATTTGAAGTACCCTAGGAACCGTGCCTTAATGAAGGAAGGTATTGCAATAAGTGAACCCCCCTCCATCTACACATTTTATAGGTTTTTACTTCATGTTATTGGGGAAAAGAAGTCCTTGAAAAAATAATTTTAGTACTTGAAAAGTCCTTGAAATGTCCTTGATTTTCTCCCAAAAAATTCTGTATGAACCATGCTTACCTTTTGGTTTCTATGAGATAGATTTAGACCAATAAAGCTGAAAACATAAAAAAAATAAAATATAAAAACAAATAAAATGAATAATATAAAATTCATAAAATATGTTTCAATGCAAATATATCTCAAGTGAAAATCACTAATATAAGCAATGAGGCCATCCTCCCAGTCCTCCCTCCTCCCTCTGTTAATGTTCAAAAAAACAGTATTGTGCCCCATTTAAGTACATTCAGCCCCCTCTCAAATAAGACTCCTTCATAAATGTGCTTAAAATAAATAAGTCCCTTGGGGGGCTTAATAGAGGATTTACGGTATTACTGGTACTTAACATGATTATTTAGATATAAATTCTGTGCAAATGATCTTCTAAAGAAGTTTCACTAATGAGTGCTTCCCACAGGACTTCTGCCTACAGATTTAATAATAATAATAATATAATATTTAACAATAATAATAATAATAAAATATTAATAATAATAATAATAATAATAATATTTACGTGTCAGGAAATTTAGCTTACAAGCTAATTGATGACACAAAAAAAACAATACAGAAATAAAATGCTTAAGATTATAAATATGTAGGTTTAATTTAGATCTATGAAATGTATGATAAGAATGTATTGCTATTTATAAGAATACAAGCTCTAAAAAAAAAATGAAGAGTGGCATAAATAGCAATTCTGACAGTTATTATCAACTAGTTCCGCTCTGTTTATTTTTCTGTTTCTAGATCTAAACATTGTTACAGATGAGATATTTCTAATTTCTTTCAGAAGTTTAGGCCATAGGTATTGTCCAAAATATCTGATCAAATGTTTACCATATCTAAAAGTGTTGAAATTCAGGATATTGTTGTCAGTTCTTAAATTGTACTTGAGGGACTTAGTTACAAATATGTCTCTCAAATATGTAGGTAAAAGACCCATATGATATTTGAACATAGTTTTTGAACTATCTTGCAGTCACCTGTTATATGAAGTGTGCTGAGATTGGAATTCTTTAACAGTTCATCATAAGTAACTATAGAGTGAGAAATGATCTTTTGCCATGTCGTGTTCTACATGTAGGATTGAGAAGGTCTTAAATATTTATCTAGGACCTTACGAAACTACAGTGGTGACAGCAATGGGAATGTCTAAAACACAATAGTTTTTTATTAGCAAAACAATAACTGCACATAATGGAGCACGCTATTTTGTACATTTCTTTGCCTACAACATGAAATGACCAAATTTTGAGTTGTCTTGAGAACGGGAATGGCAAGGCGATAAAGCTTACTATCTGTCTCTGAACTCGGACGCGGTTTCCTCTCTTCAGTTCCAACCTAACTACCCTACCTTCAAGTAACTGGGTGACTTGGTATAAGGGCGGAAAAGTTTCATAGGATGCAAAGTCTATTTTTCAGCAATGTTTTCACTGGTGTCGCCGTTGTTGGATTGTAATGTCCCTATTATTCTTATGAAGACTTGAAGGCCTGCAGTGTTGACAATATTATTTTTGTCTTTTTGGAAAAGATGATGTACAGGATGCAGTCACCTTAAAGCAAACCCTACGGATGGACCAACTGGGAACTCTGGTACTTGATGTGTCAGGATATCCACAACTTACATACGAATGGACTAAGGATGGACAGAAAGTAACATTTGGCGGACGAATAACTCTCAATCCACAGACTGGATCAATCACCTTCAACCCTGTGCGAATGATTGATGAAGGCAATTACACTTGTGAAGTAATCTCTACCAAACTTGGTGGCCACACCTTCGACCCTATATCTGCTAGAGTCATAGGTAAGGTCCGGCCACTGTAAGGCTTTTATTTTTTTTCCACAATTCATGATACAGTGGAAACTCTCGTAAGTAGACAGCCTCAGTTAGAGCTGGTTGCTTAGTAACATGGCCACTACATAAAGAGATGTAAGGGTTATATGGCCACCTACAAGAGGTATTAGAAATTATGCAAAAACTGTTTCTTAGGGTCTGGCTATACTAGCTGTTGTTTTTGATGATGTTAAAATGAAAGTGTTGTCACAGACCTAAAATTCAAATGGTCTTTCGAAGTGTAACCTGATGTGTATGTGAACCAAAACAAACACTGGAACTGATATAAAATCACTGTGAAGAACAGTCATTACGTTGATTTATTAAAATACAAGTTTCAGAGGAGAATGAGATTTCATTCTGGTGTCTGCATACAGGAGCTTAAAAACAAAGCCAAAATCAAACTTAGCTAGTAAATCTTGGAAATGTCGGCATCTGCTTATAGGAATGTAAAAAATTATACAAAGTTTTTATGGGAGTTGCAACAAGGTTTTGTGAATTTGTGAAGGTGGCCATAAGTACAGATGTCCGCTTACGCGAGTCTATGTTGTGAGAGCTTCCACTCTACATAACAGTCAAGAAATTAAAATAATATCATCAGCCCATTCAAAATGTTTTCCAATATTGTTGGCAGGATAACCACTGCAGAGGCAGCTAAGGCCTGTAAAAAATTGTAAATATTATTTGCATTTTTGTAATTTGTTTACCCACGAGGCACTTACATACAAGTTCTTATAAGAATGTAAAAACATTTTTGTGCATGAATGATGTTTTATTTCTGTTTCTTTATTTCAAATACCTTTTTGTTCTGTACGCCAGATGCAATTTTATTGCGAGTCATAGCCAGTCATTTTGCAAAGTGTTATTTTGGAAAGTAGCATAAAATAATGTGATCAACCATGGCTGAAGAAGTAAAAATCGTAAATGACTCCATTGAGAGTTTTAGCAAGTAAAGTGCTCAAAAGGAGGTTAAAAGCCTCCAATTTATGGAATAAATCTTTAGTCCTTGAAAACTGTAATTTGTCCCTAAAAATCCTTGAAAAGTCCTTGAAATTTGTTTGTCTGAATCACAGTTGTATGAGCCATGTTTGACCGTGGCCATATTTGTGGGAGGCAAGTACTCTCAATGGTCATTGTACCACCCTTGCTGAGCCTCAACTAAATTTGTGTGGTTTTTATTTATTTATTTGTCTGTCATGAATGGACCTTTTCTATCATGAATAGATCTTTTTACCGATACGGTGGCCATATTGAATTAATTAGATTTAAGGAGTATTATAGGATGCCCAGGGGGCGTGAGCACAATTCGATATACTTGCTCCTGGGTAGTTACGCGCGCTTGTAGGGCCAATATTTCATTAAGTTTTCTAAGAAAAAGATTGTAATGGGAAAAAAAGATTGTTGTGTCGTGTTTGGATGTAATAATGATTGTCTTTTTCGCGAGAAATATAAAGTGAAGTTCTCTTTTTGCCCAAAAAGCACGTGCAGATACTGAGCGAGTGCCTTCATGGGCATCCCATAATACCCCTTAAATCTAGTAAATTCAATATGGCCGCCATGTTGGTAAAAAGGTCTATTGAACACCTTCAGCCCTTAAAAAGATAATTAAAAGAACTTGAAAAGCTAGTCTGATTAAAAAGCACTTTTTTTTACGTATATAACAGACAACCCACAAATCAACAAGTATGAAGGAGAGCCTGTAAATCGCAGACTCACAAAAGGTTACAACAACACATTTCACTGTGATATTAAGAAAGGAACGCCCAAGCCGACAGTCACTTGGTACTTTGGGTGGGACGATACATTAAAGAAGGTTGATTCTCAATACGACAGCCGTTACTCCCATCCAACAGAAGAAGAGTGGACCATTACTGGTGTGACCTTGGCAGATAAAGACAAATACAGGTGCATAGCAACTAACGAGGCGGGCAAGGATTCGCTGAGGTTTGAAATCACCCAAGTCGATGGTGAGTTTTTGCTTTGTTACTGCTCGAAGAGAACTAAAGACAGGACTTCTGATATCATGCAATGGTGCAATTTGCCTCAAATCGCATCTGATTGCACAATTTGAGGAAAATCACATTATTGTTAAAAAATCTTTCCGAATTGAAGTCCATTTCAATCCTGGTTATCAAAAGCCAAGTCAATAGTTTAGTCACAGTTAAAGAAGCTAGGAGTAAATTTCAAACCAAGTAAACTCTTAAAGTTTTAATAATTTGGGTGCATGGATTCCAATTTAAGGGCTTTTATAACACAATAACAAAATTGAATTATACAACACCAAGGAATGCATGTACAGTCCCCTGCAGCTATCAGTTGCCAACAATTGGCAAAACTATTGGTAACAACACAAAGTAACATAACCTAAATCACAGCGTGCAATAACTGATGATAATGTACCAGGTCCAGACAATCTGCGAGCCAGCAAGACATGCAAGCCATGGAAAAAATAGAGTTTTATGAAGTTGTAAAATAATGCATGAAAAATGTTTTTGGCTTAGTTTCGAGGTTTTGCTGATTGAATAATTTGCAGAATTATGCAGTATTGATCGTCCTTCACTGATTAGGCTTAAGCACTCATTTTACTGACTAGGGTTAAGTGCTCCCTTTACTGATTGGGGTTAAGCGCTGTTTAGGGTTAAAAACTTTTTTTTCAGATCAGGATTAAGCACTTTTTTGTGTTTTAAAACACTTATTTACAACGGTTAGCTTTCGGTTATTTTTTCTCGTATAGGCAAATCTTCGCTGACGCCATTGTTTACATTTTTCCTCATTAGTATACAACTTAACTCATAAAAGCCGTGGCCGTATATATGAACTAAATGCAAAAGTTGAAAGGCCTCCTTAAGTTGAGAAATTTGTGCAATTTTCAGCTCTTTGCAAGCAATATTGAAGGAAATATCAGCCATCAAAAACTGCGAAATTGCTGTGTGGAAAAAAGTTAATGAGAAAATTTTGGGCGCACAGCTTATAATGTTGGGAGCATCTATTTCAAAGGAAAAAGTAAAAAGCTTAACAGTGCCATGTTTATTTGTCATCTTCAGTTTCTTACTTTTACTTCAGTCCTGTGATTGATAAAACACAGCCGATTTGCTACACAGTAATACCGTTGTGATCTTTAATACTAGTGTCTCTTTTTGTCAGTACAGTTGTGACTAAAGAAACTTACACTTGAAAAACAATTCAAAACTGACAACAAATTATGAGTGTGTCGAACGAGAATGAAAATTAATCTTTAATGAATTTGTTAAATGCGCAAATTGGCTTACATGG